TCTTATATATTATTACTAATACCCAAATCTAGGTGAGTCTTGGCCACTCTTGTAGGTTTAGATCACAGATTATATGTTTGAGTCTTTATTTTTTATATATAATTTAAAAGTAAGCTTTTCTTTGTAAAAACTTTAATTGAATTTCAATAAAGTTAAAGGCATGACCTCATCATTAATATTTTAAAAAATTCTATTTTCTTTTAATGAAAAGTATACAGAACCAAAAAAAAAAGAAAAGACAAATCAAGAAAAAATAGAAAAAAAAAGAAGAAAGAAGAGAAAAGAAAAACAAGTTGAGAAAAAAGTAACAAAGACAATGTTAAGGTTTGTTATAAAAGAGAGAAGATTCTTCTATTACAGACTTTAAGTAGTTAGACAAGCAGCTTACTTCTGCTCAAAGTAATGTGGCAGATTACACTTAGGTACTATTAAAGTGGCCAAGTAATGCTAGACTTAGATATTAAAGATATTTATATAGTTACAAATGTAATTTCAAAATCTTAATAAAATACTAGCATGACTGCTTATATAAAAAAAAAAATTTTTATTTTCTTTTGACTAATTTAGTATTTGTAAAAAAAATTCTATATTGTTAATTAACTTAAATTTTTTATTTTATTTTTTCTTTTTAGTACAAGTTTTTTGATTTATTCTTTTTATAAAATGTAACTTGTATTCTATTTTTTATAAGTTTAAGCATTATGTTGAATTAATTTATACTTTGAATTTCTAATTTGTTTTTTCTATTTATATTATCCCTTAAACCATCTAGCAGGCAAATTTGCCTGCTTATTTTTTTTTAACCATTTTTGTATGTTTGCACCTAATTTTTATAAGCCTCACCCACTACTTCCTTAAGCTACAATTAAAGTTTGGATTATCACCAATCATTTTCTGTGATTTTGTATTTCTCATGCATCATGACATAGTCATGCAGTGTTCAAGTAAATTCACAATCACTTGCCTTTACTAGATCACAAAAAATACCTTTACTAGATAGCAAAAAAATGCCTTTACTAGATCATCAAAAAAAAAAACAAATAAAATTAAACAAACAAAAAAAAAAAAAAAAAAAAACCTTCTAATTTTATGTCAAATAAATTGAAAGTTTTACTGCTGTCTTCAAGTTTGTCATTGTCATCATCTTCCAGAAATGTAGAAATATATGCAGAAGAGGAAGAGGAAGAATATACAACAATTTTAATACATCAGCAACATTTTTTAAATGATTTAGAGCCAGATTGTAAGGATGAAAATAAAAATCCTACAGCAAACACTAACTGTGCCATCAATAGAAAACACAAAGTAGTCCCAAAATTGCCACTACCACCTTCTGACTTTGAATCATTGGTTTATACAAGTCTGTTGTGTCATATGAATGTTCAGTTGCCACTACACCTTGATGTTGGTGTATCCAAACCAATAGATTTTTTTTTTCTTTTCTTTTCACTTTTTATGTTCAATACAGTAGTAATGAACACAAATGAATATGCAAAGGTAGAAGATGCCAGTTCTACCAGTAGGTATTGGAAAAACATAACTTGTAAGGAGCTTCTTGTGTAGGTTGCTCTTGTTATTTACCAGTGACTTTTTAAGTTGCCATCCCTTAATCAATACTGGAATAAAGATACAAAACTTCCTGTTCATCAAATATCAAAGCAAATGACATTAAAACGCTTTAAGCTAATCAAAAGGTTTTTGCATATTTCGCCCTCTGGCTCTATTAAAAACTACTATGATAAAGTAGAACTATTACTTTCAAATGTTCATAATGCCTCAAAATGTTTTACATTCCAGACTCAAATGTTTCAATAGATGAAATGATGATAAGATTCTCTGAACGAAGTGTCTACACAGTTTGAATAAAAAATAAGCCTGTTTCAGAAGGCTTTAAGATTTTTTCACTTTGTGAAGCTAGGTACACCTACACCTTTTTACCAACATCCTGTATTTCACCAAATAATATAAAAAAAAAGATGATCTTAGTCATGTTGGTTTTTTGGTTTGTTACCTCATTAAACAGCTTCTATATAAACAGTTTTTTATAATATTTTTATAAATAATTACTTTAGTAGCATTTCTCTTTTTCAGTATCTTTGACAAATAGGAGTTGGTGCTTGTGAAACTGTCTGTAAAACATCAGCTAAGTTTTTAAAAAAGCTAAAATTAGATAAAAATGTCAAATTGGATTGGAATATTCATTTAGATATTGTGGTAGATAGTGTGTTAGCAGTTTTCTGGCAAGATAATGGGCCAGTTACAATGCCTTTAACGATTCACTGTCTTGTAGATGAAGACTGGAAAGTAAAGTGGGAAAGGAAAAGGCCAAGAGAAACAAGTACCAATGCAATAAAAGTGCGTACAGTTTTTGGATCTAAGCTCAAAAAAAGATTAAAAATTCCTAAAGTAGTTGATAACTATAACCATAATATGAATAGTATAGATGTCACTGATCAATTGCGATCTTATTACAATATCCAACAATTAGCATAATGAAATTGAATGCCACTTTTTTTTATGGTTGTTGGATACTGCAATCATTAATTCGTATCTTATTACTAAAATTTTAGAATCTACACAAGAACATAAAAATTTTTGAGTTGAACTTGTATGAAATCTTATTGATTTTGCGAATGATAGTGGCAAAATTCAATTAAGAGAATATTCAAAAGAAAAGGAAAAACAACAAAGGGTCACAAAAAATTTTAAACTTTTGGATAAATGTTTAGATCCTGATAATCATTTTGCAGTATGGAAGGAATGTCGTAGAGCATGCCAGAGTATACATGGCTGGCAAATATTAAAGAATCAGATATAGATTGCAAAACACTATGTTAAAGTCAAATTTAGTGTTTAGAATGTGATGTGCTACTTTGTTGTAACAAGAGTCGCAATTGTTTTCTTGGGTTCCATATTAAAAACAAGGAACCTTTAGATAAATAATAGGCTTTTAGTTGGGTGGATGGGTGATGCAGTCCTATGAACCAAAACAAAGCCTTTTATAGATAGGTGGGTGGACGAAGCGATCTCATGGATCAAAATATAATAATAAATTTTTTTTTAAATTATTTTATTATTTATTTTAATTTATTACATTATGAATTCTTAATTTATTAATTTACTGATCAATTTTTAATAATACTGTGGTTAACATCATAAAGCAGATTAAAATTCTAAAATTATTAATTTTTAGCTAATGTAATTCTGAAAGTTTGATAGCCTGAAAGTTTTAATTTAATATTATCAAGATCTTGTTTTAAGTACAAATCATATAAATCATGACCTCACAATTAAGTTAGCTTAAGAATATAGTATTCTGGTCAGTTTGAATGACTCGAAAATTTAGTTTATGTAAAATAATTTACAAAATTGGTACTGTATATTTTGTGTGACTTAAATTTGTACCCTTTGCTTATCTTGCACAATATGTACAATGCTAAAATAGTGGTATGTATTATGTAATTTGGGTTTTCAGAAACTACTCTAACTAATTTAAGCAAAGATTTTTATCATTTTTTTTTCCTACTTAAAAATTTTTTAATAATATAAGTAGGCAAATTTGCCTGCTTAAATGGACAGTTTAAGGGATAACTAAATCTATTTTTTTTCTTTTTTTAAAATAAGTTTGTATTATATTTTTTTTTATAATTTTTATTACTTATTATTTTTCTGTTATAATATAATTAAAATCTACTAGAATTTAATTATTTTTATTTTAAAAACTTTTTTTATTATTTTAATATATTTATTATCTTTGAATACTCATTTATATAATTAATTTTATATTTTTTAGTTTTATCTAACATTTTATATATTAGAATTTTTGTTTTAAAAAAGTTATTTTTATTATATGTTCTATTTTATGCTAATAAAAAACTATTCTTAAATAGAACTAAAAAAATTTTTTTTAATCTTTAATATTTTTTTCTTATTATAAAATTTATTAATACTTTAACTTGCTTCTATGTAAGATAATGTTTTAGTTCTTTTTAAAATTTTTTTAAATAGGTTTAATTTGATATACTAATTTTTATTATAAAAATAAGTTTTTATATTATCAATAATGATTTATCTTTTTTTTTATTTCTTTGATTATTGTTTTTTTTGTTTTTATTTCTTTAAACCTATTTGCTAAAACTCAATATTTTATTTTTTTTCTATTTTTTTTGTTTGTTTTTTTCTTTTGATATTTATAAATTATTTATATTTGTTATATAATTAATTGAGTCTAAGTTGTATTGTATCATTTTTATTTTTATTGTTTATTTCTTAATTAACATATTTTTAAGACTTTTAGTTTTGATTTATTTTAGAATCTTGAGTATTTGTCTATAAATTAATAAATATTATTTTATAGATTTATTTAAATTACTAATTGTTATATTATTATTATTTGTTTTATATTATTTAAACTATATAATATTATATTTTTGAATCTTTAATTAATATATTACTGTTTTGATAATTAAGATTTTTTTCTATTTTTCAAATAAATTTAAATAATACTTGTTTATGTAACCTACTTTTATTTCTAAATCTAAGCTTATATTAATAATTAATTAATATTACTTGTTGTAATCACTAATATTATTTTATATTCTTTTGAAAAAAAACATGCTTATTCTTATTGAATATATAATATAAACAGAATTGACACAGCTGATTAATAGTTAAGCTTAACCAGACTAGTTCAACCAATTTGACCAGTTTGTTAAAGAATTTAGTATTGATCAAATTGGTCAAATAATATATAAAATATATATATATTAAATTATTTATTTAATAGCCTAGACTATTTGAACAATTTGATCAACAAATTTTTGATTGATTAGTAATTGACCAACTCTGAATATATATTATTATATATATATATATTAATTTAAGTTCCTACCTTTGAAGAGTGATATTTTTGTTTAAGTTTATAAAACATAAATAATATATACTATTATATTCAAATATTATAGCTATCTATATAATTATAACAATTAATTATAATTAATATTAAAAATACTTAATTCTTTTCAATAATTCTTTGATCAACAACAATAACAAGTGAAGTAGATTGTTGATAACAAAATCGAAATAGATATTAAACAGACAATTTCTTTATTTTTTTAAAATGTTATATAATCAGAGCAATGTGTTACATCTTAATAAATATATCTTTATTAAATTTTTAATAATTTAAACTATGTTAAACATAAATTATAAATTTATATAAAATTATACTATTAAATACTTAATAATAATTTCAAAATGTTCAATAAAAGTATTTTCAAATTATAGCTGTTTTCAAAAGAGTGTGAACGGACGCGGATCACCTTATCTCGATAATATTTCCAGAATTTTAATGCCAGTGCTAATCGGGCATTCAATTTTTACTAATCTTCCGATTCTTCAATTTCCCACATAGGTATATGGAAATTATTGTTCACACCTTTTTGAAAACAGCTGTAATTGGTTTGATTTTATCATCATTTTTAATGACATTTAATGCTGTGCTTAATAGCCACACGCAAAATATTTTGATTCATAAACATGGCTCAGTCTTTCCAAAATATTTGGGGATTTGAACTTCACTGTGTTTAACATTCTCCAGGGGTTTTAACTTTACCGGATTTCGCCAGAGTTTCACGTTTCGCTGGAGTTTCGACGTTTCACCAGTTTCAACTTTCGCCGAGTTTAGTTTCTATTTACTCCATTTACCAAAAATAGTTTCGTCTAACAAAGCCAGGTAGGTTAGTGTTACTTTTTTGATGCATTTAATGATTCGATTTGTATATAGACATCAAGAATGCAATTTATGAGATGTAGATCAAATATATAGCTTTAACGCAAAATTGGAGTTAAAAAGAGTACTGTTTCTAATAGGAATCTAAAAACGAACCCCAATCCTATATTTTATTCATATCGTTATACTTCGATAGCAGTATAGTATTTTAAAGATCCTTTTTAGAATCCTATCAGTAACGGAGATCGTCTGTTTGGCTAATTTAAACAATTGTCCCGGTGACTTATTTATACACTTTAATAGCTTAATAGCGTAACGCTTCACTAATAAAAAATCGTCTCAAAAACCATTCATAAGCTTAGAAGAACGTTAATACTCACTATGCAAAAGAATCCAAAAAAGAATCTTAATCTCGACGAACTTTGCTTAGAAGACAAAATATATCAACTTTTTATTGGACGATCTTAAATTACTGTATACCGAAAACAAATATAAGTGGGAACATTTTTGTTCAAAATGGCCTTATTACATTATATTAAAAAAATCCTTTATTATTAACTATCGTAAACGATGTATTTCATGTTAATGCTGTGAGCTTAGTTTGCGCAGATTTTCACAGTGATAATATTTTGTATAATTAAGATTATAGTAGAAATCTCCAATCTTACATTTCAGATGTAAAAAAAGACAATGAAGATAATGTTAATATTTTGAATGATGCCGTATATTGCTCTCGAAATTTTGCAAGGAAAATCAGTGGCTAATATCTACGGCTTCAAGACCATTGTAGTAGAAATGACGAAAGGAAAAAGTCCTTTTGATGGTTTTAAATTTGGATTGAATCTGCATAAGGTTCACCTAAATACTATATCAATCTAGTTATGCAGTGTACAGATTCTGATTCAAAAATAGACATTACTTTTTCTGTCTATAGAAAAATCGAATCTGATACTGATAATCAAATCAAAAGCAATTTGGAAGCTGATAAAGTAATTGAAAATAGATTGAATATCACATAAAAACATTCGGATTCTGTATAAAATTAAATACTGAGTTCATTAGGTTTAGGGTAAGTATTAACAGGATTATAATTATTTTAATCTGACGCAGATATTAATTTGATGCACAACATATAAATAACAATGCTAAGCTCTGAAGGCATAACTCTGATAATTTCCGTTTAGAATTATGTTTAGGTATATCGATATAGCTACTTTTGTATTGGTTTTGAACCTTGCTCGTGATCCGTCCATTTCGATTAAAAGGAAAATATTTTCACAAAATGTGGTTAATTATAATATATATGAAAATAAAAACAATAAAAGAATATTTTGACATTGTGGCTTTTTTTTTTGTCATCTTACTGGATACCAGCCCCATAAAAAAAAATACGGCTAACATCATATCTTCAATCATCTATATAGTATTTTGTATATGTCGTATTATTCTTAATTCACCAATCGATTAGTAATCACTCAACTTTATCAGTATATATTAAATACAATATATACTATATTTACAAGTGATGTCAGCTGAATTTTTTTATGGGCGATGCTAGATTTGCTGCTTACAGAATCGTACATCCAAATCAAATGATACTGGCAGAGCTTTTGTAAAACTGGTACTTTATATATAAAACGATGAAGTTAATTTTCCAAAACTTGCGTAAAATTTAAATTTATATAACAAAATCCTATTTTGACTTGAGTCAAAATGACCCCCCTAGAATTTAGGGCTAGTGTGGACCGTAATTATGCCAATGCGCCGGGTTTTATCGTAAAAAATCTCGGTGGCATCGACACAATCCCGGTCCATACAAGACTTAAAATTCTGCTGAAGGGTCATTTTGACCCAGGTCAAAATAAAATTTCCTCAAACAGTTATACAGATTATATTAATCATTTTACTAAATTTTTTCGGAGTAACGCGACGGGTAACACACTAGTATAATAAATAAAAGTTGAAAAAGATGAAAATAAAAATTTTTTAAAAAAGAACGAGACCACTTACTATTGAAATTATAATCGTCCACTGTTAAACTAAGAACTGTCTACTGTTGAAATTATGAAGAAAGTAACGAAACATTCATCATTAAAGTCATAAGGCATCCACTGTTGAAGTTACAAACTACCTATTGTTGAAGTAAAAATCAAATAAATTATAGGTGAATAAATTTTTTTAAAAAAGCTTTCAAAATATTTTTTTTTTTTTAAAAAAAAAGATCGTAAGTCATCCACATTTGAAATCATAAACTATCCACTGTCAAAGCCACAAATAATCCACTGTTAAATCACGTATTGTCCATTATTAAAGCTAAAAACCACCTACAGTTGAAGATCAAATAAATTAAATAAATTAAAAAAAAAGTCGAATATAAATTTAAAAAATAAATGATCAAGACTACCTAACCTTGAATGTACCGTTGAAGTCATAAATCGTTTATTGTTAAAGTTACAAACTGTCTATTGCAGAAGTTACAAATTTTTCATGGTGAAATCATGAATTGTTCACTGTTGAAGTTACAAACTATAATAAAAAAAGAGTAACTACCAAGTACTAATGCAATTACAATCCTAATAATTTCGACATTAGGTAGGAGAGTCGAAGTATACATGATTTGAAAAATCTTATACATTTTGAATTTTTCAGAAATAATAATCCATTAGTATTTTTGACTAATTTACAAAAAACCAAATTGTTTGCAAATACATTATTATTGAATCGTCTTAATGGCTTATTATAAGTGAATTACTTCCCTATTGAATTCTTTATCCGTAGTCAATTCAATCTTCAACTCATGCTTTTATATTTCATTAATTTAACGTGAGATATTAGAACGAACCCAGGATATAGTGCTGGCATAAGCACTATTGAGATTAGTCCATGTCCAAATAGAATTTTTGTTGGACACAATCCAAGTGCCAACACTAGTTAAATACGACTTTTCTTTCCATTCATTTATACGTTTAGAAGAAGTTGGTTAATTCCGATACCAGCATTCTTTCAAAATAGCAAAAAGAGTTAGTAATGCTCCATCTCTTTTTATTAAACGTAAAAGAAAGCACATAGCTGGCTCTTCCTTCAGAACTAGCGGATTCAAAAATAACAAAGCTAGAGCGCCTGAATTTGAGACCATGGAGTGGTTACCAGGTTTGACAAACTCAGTAATTCTCTTGAACAGGTAGCAAGTGTTGTAATCTTCCAGTGTAAATCTACAATAGTAAAAGTTTTAGTGGTTTATTAATTGTCGTGGCTGAAGCTAGGAATGGCTGAAACTGGAAATGTTCAAATTCTTTTTTTAGGATTTAGTGTTATATTTTCAAAACGAGGTTCCTAATTTCCAACTTCAGCCATTTCTAGATTTAGCCACGACATTAACTTATCTTTCAACGGAGTTCCAGTAAGTTCCAGTGGCTTCCAGGTAGCAACACTGAACGCTACACAATCAAGAGTTGCTCTCACTTTACTATACAAGAAACAAAATCGCACCTTGTTAAGTTTTCCTTAGCATCTTTTTTTTTAAAAAAAAGCCGCTTAAATTTTGTCTTTAAATGGTTCCGACAGAAATTTATTACAATACGAGGAAAAAAAAACAAATTTAGTATAACAATAACAATGCATTATATCATATGATGATCATCTTGTTGCACAAACACGTATTTATTTCTGCAAGTGATACAAAACAACGATCTATCGTTAATACATGTTGGAGGAATACGATAGATAAGATGAAGCCAATTTCTATATAAGTCAGTACAATGAATATCATAAAAAATGTAGAGGACTGGTTGAGATATGTACGTTGTACGTCATTACATTGACGATTCCACTCAACACCGTTGTTAGTGCTCCGAACGGGTCGGTTCGGGTCGGGTTGAAAACTTTCGGGTTAGAGCTTCAACCCGACCCGACCCGACCCGACCCGACCCGAAACCGAACCGACCCGAAACCGACCCGACCCGACCCAAAATTTTAAGGCAAATATATTAAAAATTTTTTAAAAATGAATTCAGTCGCCCATTTTGCTCTTAAAATTCATGTAATGATGACTATCGAAGTTGGCTAATCAAATCCAA